TTCGACGTAGCATCCCAAATTCTCCTAAACAATCCAGAATGTATAGTGTGGCCGAAAGAGCATACACTGACCATAAAGCGACGTAAATTTTTGTGGTTTTTCCACCTTCTTTCTACGCCTTGCTCGGTAGGCACGACTAGTGCCGAAGTTGTGCCCAATCCGGTAAGCAGCCTGATTCCTCCCATCTTTGGACTAAACCTTGGAAAAACTGGAACAGTTTGGAAGATTATTTGGAGACAAGGAAATAAAAGTGGAATTTGAAAGGTACATCACAATGTTGAGGGAGACCTTTGGTCTGTGTAAGCAGCTTGCTGTTGTTTGGCACTCCAAATTTCCACCTCAGCCACAGCCGTGACCAGCACCTGCTTACCTCGTCTCTCATTTTCCAAAACCACTTTTAGGATTTGTTTGTTCAGTTTTGGTTCTGTGAGAACTGAAAGAATAGCGTCCCGCTGGGCTCAAGACAGGATGTTTTCCTCAGTGCAATGCTTGAGAGCTTGCGTTCCAGGCCAATCAACTTCAGAGGCAAAGCGAATAAGAACACTGGCCAGCGGTCGTCAGAAAATGCATGCCCGAAATGCAAACAAACGATCCGAAAGCAGCGAGCTCAGGTAAGCTTCCACATTTGTATCATCACTACTGCATTTGGTTAAGTAGCTGTAGCCCTCGCTTTCCATTCCTCCTCTCTCGTCCCTCTCCTCATTACTTTCATTCCTTCGTCCCTAGATCCCACACTGACTCACTGCTACGGTAGATTATTTGATAAGTTTTTGTTGTTAAGGAAGTTGAACAACTGAAGCCCGCAAATGTGAATGAAAGCAGCACTTTAAATACTGTTTTAAATATGTGGCTTGCGGCGTTCAACAATTGTGGATGCAAAATTTTGTCTTTCTGGCTTTTATAATAACTTAAAGACCAAGCTTCCAGTTTACTAATCGTTTTAGAATAAGAATCAACTGCTCCAAATCTCAGCATCCTAACTTTACTGACTTCAAAAACTCGTTGCTACAATACTAAAAATACTTTTGATTAGGATAGACACCTGACTTTTTGCAGATCAAGGGAACTTGATATTATTTTCGGACTCTTTACAGAGTTAAAAATTAAGGTTCCTGAAATTCAACTTTTTAGCTTATCTGA